CTGTCCGAGGCCAACAGAGCTACTGAAAGTAAATTCCTTTGACCTTTGATATTAATCAGCAACACTTTTTATCTCAATGAAACAAGATATAGAAAAGAATTAAAGATAAGTTTACCCTGACCATTATTTCCACCGATGTATATTAGTCCCGACGTTGCATTTGACCATGTTCGTGTATTAGTGTCATCGACTAAGTTGAATATCATCAAGATTGAATATGATGTTGAATTCGAATCAAGTTGATCGAACAAGAATTGAATACTTTCGAGTGGTGTTTCGATATTTTTGGTCTGCTTTTTCGAATCAAGTATAACAGTTATAATCCGTTGTTTGTAAGGCAGTTCTGACGATACACTAGCATTGATAGTAATTGCTTTTGCTCCGGTGTTTGTTATTGTTTTCTCCCATGAATAACTGCCGATGGGTGGTACATAATTCAGGGTTGCTTCATCTGTCAAATCAATGGAATGTATGAAATCATTTACAAATTTCAAAATTAAGAATTTTTCAAATTAATCAAAACTTATATAGGCTACTAACAGTTTTAGAATTTTTATCTAAAATACGAAATTTCCCTCATTAGCAACTTCAGTAACTCATATATCGCTGAGTATATTCAATATTTAGTTTGATTTTATGTATAAATTAAAAATGTAATATTTTACATATTTTTTGGTACTTTTGGTTTGACTCACCAGTAGCATATGTTCGCAGCAGTCGACATTTCGGTGGTGGAAAAGCACGAAGTGCATTATCTTCAGCGGTAGAGTTTTGATCGTACCATTTACTATCAAAACATGTATGATACACTGTATCGGGTGCGAGTCCAGTGATGGTGATCGAATCTGATGTATTCAGTTTACTAACATCGTAAACTACAGCTTTATTGGACACGTTGTTTCGAGTACCGACATAGAGACTGACAGTAAAATTACCGGAAAGTTGATTAATATCAATGCCTTGAAGTGAAGATGATGGACGCCACATGAGTTGAATCGATGAAGAATTTATCGACATTAGAGTATTAATTCCGGGTAGCCAGCTATCATTAAGTGGAACAGTACGACTTTCAATAGAATGTGGAACAGCCATGAAGAAAAACAAAATTATGATATCCCAGATTTCTTTCATTTTTAACATCAAACGTAAACGAGGACGACGATAGAGCAGTAAATTTCTTTTTTGTTCGCCAATAGCGTTTAGCAGAAGATTTATTTCTTCCAACTTGGAGTCAAATGAATAACTGTTGAATAAGTCTTGAAACAAATAGTTAATATACTTTTGCGATGATTAATTATTATAAATTTATATGCATACCACACTACGTTGAAAGATCGTTTATAATATCAACAGTTTTTTGACTATGATAACAGTTTACTCACTATCGATTTAATGCCAGTTCTGTTGACATTGAAAAGATCAAATCTTCTCATAAAGGTAAGTTTGTTTTGAAAAAGAATACAAAACTCTGTGCACACCTATACGACGAATATATGGAGTAAAAAAAAATCTGGTAAATATTTGTCCTCGAAGAAGTTTATAGATTTTGCATATTCAAATTTTTATACTCTTTTGGACCTTCGTTTTACTTTTTGTCACAAAAGAACCGTTTCAAAGATTCATGGCAAAAATATGGTTCTAATAGATATATATTAGCTCCATCTAACTACTTTAGAAGAAAAAATAATTGATTAAATTTTGATTTTTTTGTACCTTCCACTAAACTGAATTCTGAAAATGAAGTGTTAATACCTAATATTAAGTGCTAAGTAAAAAAAAGAATTTTTGAATTCTAAGTTAAACTAAATGATCCACTTCTATTAATGGTTATAATTGATTTACGAATTCAATTAATTCTGATAGGTCGTAATCAGTATTCTTTGACTTTTCTTTTGAAAAAACGGTCAGCGATTGATTGAAATTCATAAATTTTCAAAACTGAATTTCATTCGATAATAAAAAATCATACAAAATCAATTCTCGTGAAGAAACGTATAATATTTGGTTTAAAACTGATGATTCTGAATCATTTATGGTGAAAATTTCATTATAATCTTTCGGTTCATAAAAGAAAAGTCATGATTATTTGGTTTTCATCAAAGAAATAGGACTCATACTAATTAAAGTCAGGTATCTGCGAATTCATCTATTTGTTTTTTTTACATGAAAAACAGAACTGGCATTAAATCGATAGTGAGTAAACTGTTATCATAGTCAAACTAATGCTTACGTCCATATTTGACGTAAGCATTCGCCTGACTACGATATCAGCTTGCTCACTATCAATTTCATGCTATTTTTATTATTAACAACGTCAACATCAATATACGACAGATGTCACGTTTCCATACAATATTTTCATCCTCTCGTTTTTTATTCTGCTGTCAAAATAAACTGTTGATATTAGAAACGATCTTTCAACGTAGTGTGGTATGCATATAAATTTATAATAATTAATCATCGCAAAAGTATATTAACTGTTTGTTTCAAGACTTGTTCGACAGTTATTCATTTGACTCTAAGTTGGAAGAAATAAATCTTCTGCTAAACGCTNATCGAAGTTACACAAGGTTCGAAAAAAGCCTGAATATGACCACGTATTAAGAGTATTCGAAATTTGTTGTAGTGAATTTTTGGTTTTTACTCGTAGACATCTATACGTTTCTTGTTCAGAATTAAATTCTCTATCGAATGGTATGTAAATCGACTGTGGAAGCATGTATATACTCCGTCTAAAATAAGTGATTCTTTGATCCTTAGAAGGTTCAATACGGCCTATATGGCTGAGTACCAATGTAACGGAAAAGGTTGACCGATCAAACTGAAACTTATAGGAATGATTACTGACTATGAACCCTACAATTGCTGAAAGTTTCATGTAAAACTATAAGTGCTTTCTAGGGGGGCCGATTTCAACGCAAAACGTCTCCCGTCCTTTGATAATTTTACCAACTTTTTGTAAAACGATTAAAATTTATATTTTTTATAAAAATTTATTTTTTTTACCAAGTGTGCTGCAATTTGTAGAGGTCGTTAGTTTTTGATTAAAGAATTTTTTTAATTTAGTACTGTCTGGAATTTGTACAGAACGTTAGATTTTAGTTGAACTAAAATTTTCCTGTGAATCTAGCTCCGAAGAATTTTAATGGAAGTCAATAATAGAATGTACTAGCTAGTTTTTTTCTTTTGTTATGGATAAACTAATACTCATAGTGCACGAGCAAGAGTCGTCGATTTGGGCTAAACTAAGAACGTTTTCAGTTTAATACAAAACGAATTTTTAAGGAGATTGTATCATAACTTTTTGTGATAATTTGACATTTGTTCCAATTGTGGTGTGGGAAAATCGGACTGTGTTCGTCAAGAGAAGACGCTCATTAACATCTATATTTCTGAGCCGTCTTTTTTAAAACATCATTTTTTGTATTTATGAAGTTTGTCTCTAAATGCTTTTACACTCCAATCAGTGATCTCCATTCAATGTTTGATTCCATTTTACTATCATAATTATATAATCTGTTCAAAATCAAAAACAGCTGATGATATTCATAGGAACAATTATGTCTGACGAACTCTATAAATTACAGTCAATTAAGAATACTAAAAGCACTACTATATTTTAACGCACTCTACAAATTACAGCTCATTAAATAAAAATAGTGAAACTCAATATCTAGCGAACTCTATAAACTTCAATAAGTTTAAAAATATACTGAAATTTTAATTTGTTTTAAAATTGTCATCAGTAAGTTTTTTGAGATTTGAAAACCGAAAATTTCAAACCTAAGATCATTTGAAATTTGAATAATTTAAATTTAAAAAACAACTGAAATTGAATTTAACAAATTTTTAATTTCGATTTTATGTTCGCAAATGAGAGGACACGCCCTTGACGTGAAACGAAAATGAAATCATTACTTCTCTCACTCATATTCTCGAAAAAAAGCGTTTAAAATGTAATTTTTGCCCTCGTTAAAACTATACCCTGTGTAGAATGTATTAAATCTATGAAAGCAAATAAAAGCACTGAGAAAACGAACACCTGTTGTAAGCCGTATATATTTCGCGACTTTTTCATGTTTTTTCATTCCGATATTGCCATTCACAATATCTATTAGAACAATGTTTGCCGTATTTATCGTACTTAGCGCTATCGCTAGTCTTGCCTGGTCACAGAGTAGTACTGTGATGCCAAGCTCATCAACATCTCCAATGCGAATCGATGCATGGGAAGATCTCGTGGTCAAACCACTACAGATAATCTCCGAACTCTCTCGCATATGCATCGTGATGTCGCGTCAAGATTACACACTTGATACATCTCGCCCTTATACCTACATCAAGTATCCTTCATCCTATCGGGCCACCTTGACTGAAGCAACTAATGTTGTTGATCGTGCTTTCAGAACAGCTGAGAGGAGTATGTCTCGTGTGGAGATGATCATGAGGCAGGTGTTTGATGAGTTGAACACAGCTCTGAAGATACTTTTTAAGGCAACGATCCAGGAAAGACAAATCTTGCTTCCAAGCTCGCTCGATAACATTGCCAAGAGTGCCAATGATGTGACTTCAGCTGTTGACGAAGTCTTGAAGGAGTTGGGAGAAGTTACTGCTTTCTTTCAAGAACTGCTTCGAGCAGTGCAGCCATCAACACCATCGTCGACTTCCACACAGTCAACCAAGTCACCTTTAGACATTAATCATGCAACAGCTGTATCGAACATTGTTGCCCATTTAAAATCATTGACTGCCATATGGAATCAGCTCGCGCAAGAGTCTAGCTTGCTCTCTCTTGTGGCTACTCGAGCAGTGAAGGTAATATATATATAGCTTTTTCTAACACATTATCTCTTCATAATCTGTCAATTATAGTTCATCGATGATAGGAACAGAATCCTCTCGCTTGTGGGTGGTATGGATCAAACGACAGACTTATTCTTCCGTCTGGCAACTCTTTATAATAAGGCGACCACACAAATAATCACCACGCGTACTTCCACCATGAACAAACTGCTCATGTTGGAAAGTGAGGAAAAACGCCTCGACGAAGCACAAAAGGTGAATAAAGAGTTGCCAGACGGAAGAATAAGTCTGTCGTTTGATCCATACCACCCACAAGCGAGAGGATTCTGTTC